TAGGTTAAAATATTCCAAAACTCATAAAATTGTAAATGTATAATTAATAATATAAATATAATATTTATATTTCCCTTAAAAATAGCAATATCTTCTAACATATCCTGTATCCTTCTTCGTGTCTTAATAAGGAATGAAATTCAACCATAATATTAAGTTATACCACATGAAATTGCCAATTTTAGAATAAATGACAATCAATTGAGACTTGCAAATTCTACTTAACTTATATTTTGCTTAGCATATTTTGACGTTTATTTTCTTATATTTTTTTTGTATGATAAATTTTTTTTTATATTAATTTAACTATTTTTTGAAAAGTGAACAATATCATGTTTCCGAACGAATTTAGAATATAATTCCTGTATGAGTTTAAGTTGGATCATAATATTTTTCTTTCTCGTTTGCATTTTATATTTTGTCGATAATCTAAATTGAATCACTCAAAAAGTATAAAATAAAAATCTGATTATGCACTTCATAATTTTAAGGATTGAAACGAAAATATTATTCATTATTTTAATTAAAAAAATTTCTACAAAAAATAATCATGCTTCCAACTAATTAGTTTATATTATTTTTTATAAAAAAATGTAATTATCGTACCATAAAAGATAGAACTGTATTTAAATTTTTAAATTTTAATAAAAAAAATAAAGAATATTTATATTTGTATATTTATATTTGAATATTTATATAATATATTTGTTGTAATAAATTTTAATAATAATAAAAATTAATATTCTAATACAAAAGATTTATAAAATTTAAGAAATAAGAATAATTCTTTTTATTCTTTTATGCAATGAATGATCCTTATTCCATCCTTAAGAAAGGTACACTAATTTTATATTATACTAAGAACAAATGTTTAACATAAAAAAATAAAAAACTTATTAATCCATTCACGCTATACTATATTACTAAATTATTAAATTATATACTTATTTATATTCTGTAATCAGTGAACAAGCATTGATTCGAATTTTGCGTATAACAATTATAATTTAATTTGAATTTAATTAGAAAAAAATATTTATAATTTTACGAAATAAACACTAAATTTATCAACTACATTATATGTGGTCATAATGATTTGGAAATAAAATTGCATTAATTAAAAATTGCATAAAAAAACAATGAAAAATTTTTGTTTATATTTTCTTGATTTTTTTATTTTTATCCCATTTTAAAAAAATATTATTATTTTTAAAAAAATTACTGTCAATATTCATTATTAGAATTAATAACATTTTATAGTGTAACATCAATTAGTATTAGAAATATTTGAAAATTTTTGCAAATTACTTACGAAAAATATAACAAATCACAAATTATCAATATCATTATTATATATTTATCTTAATATTTTCAATAATCAATATAATTATAAATTACGTAAAAATTATGTAAATATCATACAATTCAGTAAAAAAAAAAATACAAAAGGACTTGTATTTCAAATTTCAGAAATTTACATTTTATTTCTCTTTTTTTTTTAAACGTAACTGTCATTAGTCATAAATTGTCATTAGTCATATTGAAAATCCTTTTTTTCGTCTAAAAAATTTCAGCAATCTTATCTTATTTGTTACAAAAGAAAAATCAAATTTTTAAAATAAATATAAATTAAATCTATCGTATTAAAATAAAATAATAATTCA